TCAGAAATGCTAAATGCAAAACGGCTATTTTCAATGACTACTTATTTTTTTCCAGCTTTAACATCAGTATCGATATCGGTTATCGGCTACATGAGTTTTAAAATATCGGCATATCGGATATCGGCCAAAATCCCAATATCGTGCATCCCTAGTTTACATATATGGTTTATACAACTATTCCTTATTTGTGCACATTAATTATATTTTTGATAAAAATAATTTTACTAATAATCTGATAATCTGGGGAAGTCATATTTAAATGACCTTTCTCAGAGCGATCAGTTACTTTCCTACCTACAAGTTACAAGTTACCTTCACCAGATCATAGGTTTGCCTCATGAAATGAACTTTCTTTAACTTACAGATTAATCTCAGAAAAAGTAGTTCACTAAAGTGTTACTGTCTAGAAGCAGAAGGTTTCTTTCACAAATCAGACAAATTACAGCAAGGAAATGTACTTTCTAGAACTCTAATTTCTAGAAAATGTTAATTTCTAGAACTTGTAAGTCACTGTCATAATATTTAACAGGCTCTACTGTCATGTCATGCAATGTTCATGTTACTCAGGAAAACTTTTCAACACAAGCAACAAGTTACTGTCCAAAACTTGCAGAAATATTTCACAATCTTATTTTTCTCTCCTGGACTAGAAAAGACCAGATTACTTTATAATGTTTGGCAACAACTAATAATCCAATCTCTAAATGATACTTGAAAGTTTTAGAAAGTAACCAACAGTTTCTAGAAAGAATGAGATTACTGATCGCCTTGTGATGGAACTAGATCCTTGTTTTTGTTTCGTCACATTTCCAGACAGAAGCTGGAAAGTTCCAGAAAGTGTCCTGAAAGTCCAGAGACGCTTGAGGAACATTAATCTGAACATTTCTGTGTTTTGTTTTCTTGTTTTTTTTCCAATCAGATAAGTTAATATTTATAAAAAAAAATACTTGCTGATATTTAATAAGTTGCTCAAACAAAATTTATTTTTTACATTATCAAAGCAGATCTGGTCTTTCTGAGAATCGCTTTTTGTGATAAACTAATTTCTGCCGGACATCAAAATGTTTGGTGTTTTCTGTTGATTGATTCAGGTCAATAAATGTGAATAAAGTGACCAGATCTAATCAGAAATAACTAATCAGAAAAGTCTTACTTTTTCTGAAGCTATTTTGTTGCTGCAGAAAAAATTAGTGAAAATGCTGCCTGAGAAAGACTTTCAGAAACGCTGCTGAAGAGCCGTTTGCAGCGTTTTGCAGCGGTTTGCAGCGTTTTGCAGGACTGAAAGGAAAACTGGCTGCTTGGAGGGAGAATAAAAACAAATAAGTAATAGTTTAGACTTTAAAAATAAAGGCAGTCTTTTAAAAAAGCATTAAGGATTCAGATGTCGACATTCAACCGATTAACTTCCATTAACATCTTAAAGTGTCTGAATTCATGCAAGGAAAGTTTCTGAGCTGCAGTTTAAAGCTGATTTATTTTCAATCTTGTTGGACTTTATAGAATCTGCTGCTTCTTTCCTAACAGATTCTTTTAAACAGAAATACGGAGCCTCCTGGTGAGAGGACGAATCCCTGATATCTGAGCCAACAGAGATCCCCCCCCACCCCCCCAGCTCCGGGTTTCCATGACAACACTCTTCAGTCCTGCTAGTAAACTGAGCGCTTATAAATAATCTAAATCTCTCCTCGGTGGTGCGGGACGAGTAGAAAGATAAAGTCCAGAGACTTAGAGGAGATCTGCACAGAAAGAGAAAGGATTCAAACCCCGTCCTCTCTGGGGGTGTAATTGCATTGTGTCCGGCCGAAGGAATTGCTGGGTCAAACTGTGACGTCGACACATTTACATTCCTGGGAAGCAGCACTTTCAACCATGGCTCTAAATAAATGGACTAGTTGTTGGTGGGTTAGTACTTTAAAAAACTGGAGAAAAAAAAACTTAATTTTTTTTTAGGTAATTGAATCTTAAAACAGGTCATTTCTTACAGGCTTTATACAGGAATCAGTTACTCTAACTGAATGATTTTTAATATTCTTGGAAATCATTTTAGTGCCATCAACAATTATCTGTGACTCTCAGGTTTTTGTTATAATTCATAAAACAGATTCTTTTCCACACTGACAGCTCTATCCTAGATGCTACAATAGCAGAAAACTTTGATTTATAGAATTCAAATAAACGTTTTTATTAAATAATGCCCTATTTTATAAAAAAAAGTATCACATAAAAGTTGTGAAAATAGCAGATCTAGTTCAACACATCCTATTGGTTAATATAGCAGACAGACAAGCTGACAGAATGTCCAATAAAGGAATGATTTTAGACATCCAAGGTTTCCATCCCAAAGCAAACACTTCCTGATCTACTATGAATTCTACATTAAACACAGATCTATAAAATCTGAATCAGTCCAAAAAAGCAAAGAACAAAATTTTAACTTTACTTCTGAGAATTTCCCCCCCGGTTCCTGCTGCTCAGGGGTCAAAGTAGATTTAAATTCACAGGGTTTGATATAAAAAAAATACAGAGAGAACCTCCATAATTGCCATGGCAACCCAGACCTAAAGTGAATGAATATGCTACTAAAATGTTGAAATATTTAAAGGAAACAGAGAAAATGTTTTAATGACAATACAAGGAAACATTTACATCATATTTAAATAGAAACGAGAAAAATGAAAGAGAAATATTCAAAGATCTATGAACCTTTTCATCTGGATCTTTATTCAGAAATAAACAGAATTCAATTAAATATTTGCTTTGGATATAATTTAGATTCCTTTTGATAGAAATTAAATAATGTTTAGCATCACCTCCTGTGAGCTGGAAGCAATAAAATCTTGATAGTTAGAGAAATGGATTTTCTACCCTTGGCAGAGGATGATCAGCCACTTATAGTTTATTAAGTAGCGAGAGCAGGAAGAGCCGTACTGCTGGGAGCGAAGCATCAGAGTGGAGCGTGAAGCGCAGACTCTGAGCTAAGCCGCGCAAAGACGCATTTCTGCACAGCTGGAAGATCAGAATTACAGTTCAGCGCGCCGTACCGGATCATTGCTGGTTATTTTCTCTCTGCTGCTGCCGCCATGATCCATCTGTGGTCATGCAGAATGATGCACGCCGGGTGGGGGTGTGGCCAAACAGGACTTTGTGCTTAGCAGATTACAGCACAATGATGCATTTTAAACATCTGACCGACCACCCGCTAATTTTATTTAGTCCTGTCACCTTTGAGTCGTCATGTTTACGTCATCAAGGATCATCGTCATCGTTGACGAAAGCAACACTGCTGGGAGGTTATTAAAGCACAAAACAGCAAATATAGCGATAGACGGTGTTCCGCAGAGATCAGTGTTTGGATCAGTAATTTCACTGGTTCGTTTTTCTGTTTGTTTAACTTAGAATATTTATTTTTAGTACAAATAATCCTGTTGAAAACAGAAGAGATAATAGTTCAATAATGGATAATTATAAAAAAATATATTTATTTTATTGCAGAAAAATCGCACCGTGAATCTTTAGCTTAATTAATTTAATTATAAACCATCAGTTGATGACAATTATTCCCTCTTTCCTCCAGTGCTTCAACCACTGACCTCTCGGGTGGCTTTGATCCGGCGGGGGGCTACCTGAGGAAGAGCCCGGACCAGTACAGCTCCAGAGGCAGCATGGAGAGCCTGGACCCCACCCAGTCCTCCCATCATCACCCAGCCGTTCAGCAGCAGCACCCGCTGGGCCACCGCAGCCACTCCGGGTCCCACCCGGCGTACTCCTCCTGCCAGCAGCTCTCCTCTGCCAGGTGAAACCATAGCAACCAGTCAGCGCTTTGTAGCATAAAGCTTTAACTTTGGGTGCATCTGTAGGTTTTATCCATCACTAACTCAGTA